TGAGCCACCCAGGTGCCCCTCGGTTTATTTACTTTTGAGACAGGGAGAGACAGAGCATGAACAGGGAGGGTCAGAGAGAGGGAGACACAGAATCTGAAACAGGCTCCAGGCTGAGCTGTCAGCACAGAGCCCGACGCGGGGCTCAAACTCACGGACCGCGAGATCATGACCTGAGCCGAAGTCGGCCACTTAAGACTGAGCCACCCAGGCGCGCCCAGACTCTTTTTAAAGAGAGGCACAAAATGAAGACTCTTTTAAAATGAAGATAAACATCTAAAGTCTTATTCTTATGTGATTAGAGAAACTGAAAGTATACCAGAGAAAGAAACATATTCTGGAAAGAAATAAACACAGGGCTCCTGAATGGCTCAGCCAGTTAAGTGTCCAACTCTTGATTTCAGCTTAAGTAATGATCTCACGGTTTGTGGAATCAAACCCCAAGTTGGGCTCTGGGTTGACAGCATGGAGTGTGCCTGGGATTCTCTCTCTCCCTCTCTGCCCCTCCCCTGTTGATGCACATGCTCGTTCTCTCTCTCTCTCTCTCTCTCATAATAAATAAATAAACATTAAACAAAAAGAAAGAAAGAAAGAAAGAAAGAAAGAAAGAAAGAAAGAAAGAAAGAAAGAAAGAAAGAAAGAAAGAAAGAAATACGGGTGCATGGGTGGCTCAGTCGGTTAAGCATCGACTCTTGGTTTTGGCTCCGGGTATGATCTCTGGTTCATGACTTTAAGCCCCATGCTGGGTTCTGTGCTGATGAGGCACAGCCTGATTCTGACTCTTCTATCCCCCACCCCCCAAAATAAATGAATAAGCTTAAAAAAAAAGAAAAAAGAAAGAAAGAAACACAATTGCCTCAATAAGACTGAATATTCCTTTTTTTTTTAAACTTTTTTTAATGTTTATTTTATTTTTGAGAGAGACAGAGCATGAGTGGGAGAGGGTTAGAGAGAGACACAGAATCCCAAGCAGGTTCCAGGCTCTCAACTGTCAGCACACAGCCCAATGCAGGGCTCAAACCCACAAACCATGAGATCATGACCTGAGCCAAAGTTGGGCACTTAACCAACTGAGCCACCCAGGTGCCCTGAGATTGAATATTCTTTAAGTGAAAGTCTTTACTATCAACACATTTAGGTAATTCAAATTTCTCTATTCACAAAATTTCTATGAAATACCCTCTCAGAATAGTGCATACTGTAAATCGTGGCAGAATATAAAAAACAAAATATGAATTAGCCTTTACCAGCTTGGTTTGTTGTAGCAGGATTTCCAGTAGGAGGGACAAGAAACAATGACTGGATAAAAGATCCCAGGGCATTTACAATATCACGAAAAACCTTGGTAGAATGCTGTTTCATATCATAGGACTGACAAAATGACCTGTAAAATAATTTTTAAATAAAATAAAATGTTTAATAAAATTTTTCTAGGGAAAATATTTGAATATATTAACATTTTTTAATAGCAAGTAATTTTGATTTGTCAGTCTGAATGCTATACTTAAAACTTCATCACACCTGAGTTATTCTACTAAGTTAGTACAAAGGTTGAGACTGAGGTCAATGTTCCAAAAAAATTTTTCTTGGCTGTATTAACCAGTAATTTGGACGGATGGCAATTACTACCCATGTTTTTTGCCCACTTCTCAGTTGTTTTCCACACTCACACCCCTACCCCTCTATATACATACAATACACAATTTTCTTTGTTTAGAAATCACTAACGTTTGGGAATACTTAAAAGTCTTCTTACTAGCACAAACATTAACCTATTTAACTAAATACTGCTGAGGTTCTACCTTAATAGCTGAGGCTGCACACAGAGTCTGTGTATAGATTCTACTGCAACAGCTCGTAGCCACTGTGGTTTATCTGCATCCAGAAATTTCACCAGAAGTGACAGAAATATCTCACATTCAGTTACCTAAAAAGTATAAGATTTTTTAATAATATTTCTTTAAATCTAAGATAAGAATTTATAAAATACACTCTTGTTCTTAGTTTATGGAAAAATCAATAAAATCTTCTAACTTTAAATAAATTACAATTCTTAATGGGGAGTAGAGAAAAGGAAGGGAAGAGCAGTTATATAAGGGAAAAGCTAACAGTAAAAATAATCAGTCTCTCTCTAAATACATCTCTGAAAACACACACTAGTCATCTGCTCACATGGTCAATCTTTTATCCTCATTCTTTAGAAAGCACTATGCACCATCACACCATCCTCACTGCTGCCAGGTAGCACACATATCATGTAAACTGCTGGTAGGATGTATATTCTACTCTTTAATAATACCACAAGTTTTTCCATACGTTCTTGTGCTGCTTAAACAAAGAGGCGATAAACGTAAGCATGTTTAGTGTACATTTTCTAGGGAAAAACAAAAAGGAATCCATAGCAGTTAGCAAGTATAAGATATAAAGCACTTAGAATGAGGCCTGGTACATAGTTTCCCTTTCTTTGTAAATATCCGTTATCATTACTGTTAATATAAATCATCTCTTCTGCAAGCTCTTTGTAAATAAAAATGTTTAGAGCACATTCTCAACATTACACACTAAATGTGTGGTAGATGAATAAATGAACAAAAAAAAGTAACCAGTTTTTTCAAAAGTTAATAGATTACTTCTTAATGTTACACATTAACTGAGGGCACAGCAGGATCCTTGTGAAGTAAGAACCTGACATTGTGGTTAGTAGGCCAAACTGAAATCTCCCTTTATACCAAGTGCAGCACATTATTGGATGAGTTAGCTGGGGGTACCCTGAAATGAGTAAGCATCATATGGGGCAAGAAATTTCAGAAATATAGCAGTCATCAGGATGTTAGCCCAAAGTCTTAGCAGCTGGTATCTTCTAATGTCTTACAGTACTGTTAACTGGATGCTTAAAACTAGGACATAATCATGAAGATAAAGCAGGAGGGATAATTAAAAACTTGATTCTTGGATTGCTATGATTGGGGAAGTCCTAAAACAGAGGCTTATCACTGTCCTAAACATGATACTGTTAAAAAGCATTAGATCAGAAATCAGATGGGCTCAGCTTTATCCAACAGAGTGGATGACAAGTTACATAACCTTATAAATAAAGGATAAAAGCATCTCATCTTCCGGAGAAGTCAAATGAGAAAATTGTAAAAATAAAAACGTCTCGTAAATATGATAAAGTGCCATGCAAATACGGAGCACATTTTTTCCTAAACAAATGATCCCTTTTAGTAAAGAACTGATAAAGAATCATGCTGGTGACTCACTATGCAAGTTGTTATCTACAACAGAGTTTTAACATTAGTGGGTCCTCCAAACGCGCACTACCTCTTTTAGAATAAAAGTGAAATATAAATGCGGTAGTACAATTGAAGGCTCATAAGCCAGGTTTTGAGGCCAGAAAACAAAGGCTCTCAAAAACATTATATCACAGCCAAAAGAAATATTATTATAAAACTTGCCTTGAAGAGTATATCAGTTCCTCTCCTGTAAGAGAAGGACTACAGCACATTCTGTCGGCTGAAAAATCATGTATGAATAGTACTATGTACATAACAATACCTAGAGACCTGTATTATTTTAGTACTTATTTCATAAAAATTACTATCTGAATATATCATAACATACAAAAATTCAAAGGCTTTAATGAATATATTGTAACATACAAAAGATACAAAAATTCAAAGGCTTTAATTTGTAATCTTAAAAAAAAAAAAAGCAAATCAAACAACTTATACTACAGCCACTACAACCTTGTAATTTGGGTAAATGAGAGCCTCTCTCCTGAGGTCTGGAACTTTGGTCTCCTTTCCTTCCTCCTTGCCAAGTGTGAAAGTCTGATCAGAGAACTAGTGTTGAGGTCACTGCATTGTTCTCAAGGACATCAATGGAGAGCTCCTGCTGTGAATTTATTAAGCCTTTTTCCCAAGAAGCTGCACTCACAGGGAAACGTGTATTAAGAATGGCATCTATGGGGGGCGCCTGGGTGGCTCAGTCAGTTGAGCATCCAACTTCAGCTCAGGTCATGATCTTACGGTTCTTGGGTTCGAGCCTCACGTCGGGCTCTGTGCTGATAGCTCAGAGCCTGAAGCCTGCTTCGGATTCTGTGACTCCCTCTCTCTCTCCCCTCCCTTGCCCATACTTTGCCTCTCCAAGACAAACATTAAAAAATTTTTTAAAAAAGAATATTTAAAAGAATGGTTTCTATGGCCTAAGTCTAATTGGCCTAATATGACATGAAGATACCTCATAAACTCCATTATACTAGCATGAAGAGTGATGAATGTTTCTGAATTCCTACAGTCCTTTGTACTGGATAGTAGTCAAGAGACAACTGATGCTTAAGATTAATCATTCATTCTGGTAGAAATTTTAATCACAGTAGCACATGGATTTCTGATAAGGAACTATGTACATAATAAAGTAACTGTTGACTTAGGACACAACAAAGACAATCTGATAGACTATAAATGCAGGAGTCTATTTCTCAAAGGCTGATAAGAGTAAACAACCTTTTGGCTAATGAATTTGTAGTGCTAAGATCCTTTGTTGGAGACATGTATGTGAAGCAGTAGAAAATTAGGTTGGGTTAGTCAAAATAGCCCCATTAACTCCTTTTTAAAAGCAGTGAGTCAAAGGTAGAAAAGAGATATGCTACCAACTTATAAGCTAAGTTTCACAAATCCCTTAAACTATCTTCCTAAAAAAGATATCTGGACAGAAAGCATAAATGATTCAGAGGACAGAGAAGCATCTAGCTCAGATGATAGAAAAGAGAAAGAATATAGTATACCTGCTATATTATATCTCTTCCTGAATGACCAGGGCATTCCAATTTCCTCCAGTCACTCTATCACTCTAGATATATTAACAGAACTAACCTTTGAATGTTAGGTATTTCCACCCCTGAGCTACTGGATACAACAAAATAAACTGGTGAATACTGAAGGAGAACAGATTCCCTAGTTAAGTGATTCCCCAAAGTGGGGTCAAAATGAGGTCACAATTATTTTTATAGTAATACTAAGATATTACTTGCCATTTTTAGTGTATTGACATTTGCAGTGATGATACGAAAGCAATGGTGGGTATAACAGCTGGCGCTTTAGCACGAATCAAGGCAGTAGCACCAAACTGCACTAGTATCATTGTATTTTTCATTCCCACACACAATTTTGTTTTAAAAAGGTCTGTTTCACTAAACAACCACAATGAAAATAAGTAAATAAAAATAAGCATAAATAAAAAATAAAATACAAATTATTAATTTTATTAAATTTGACCTGTAAGTGTCTGTCTTTTTAATTTTCTGCGTGACAAAATGAGAATATATATGAAGCAGTTTTTCTACGTATCAAAGTACAACGGTTGTCTGGGGAAAAACATAGTTAAGAACTGATCTAGTCACTTTTTTCCCCCTAAGGAACACCATTTTAACTGAAAAAGCAAATGGTAAATTACGACTTTTTAGACTTGTGTACATTGCAGACACTTAATAAAAAAATGAACAAAGTAAGCTTGTAGCTGTAAGGGAAACAAATAACAGTATTTGTTGCCAACAAGAAGATTTAAGCTTTCAAGCAAAAGTAAGTATTTTAGAAAATTTATATCTACCACTGTGACCTTGACAACTTCTTGATAACAGATTTATCTGATAAATGGTTGGTGATTAACAAAAGTGATTTCTGGTAATGTATAAAATGTTGACATTTGGATTATCTGCATAATTAAAATACATGATATTACAAAATCATGTATGGATAAAAGATACAATCAGAGCACAAGATGAATCAATGAATTTTAATGTAACCGAGTATGAAAATGTCATTACTATGGTTTCAATACTACACCTTTAAGAAACTGTCACTTGGTCCAGTCTGGTGTAGTAGCAAAGAGGAATATCCACTATTAAGATAGATTTAATATCCATGAAGACAATTCTGCCTTTTCCAACTACATGTCTTTGACAAGACAGATTTTCTTCATATGCTTCAACCAAAACAACACGTCACAATAGAATGAAAAAAGATAAGAAAATCCAGTTATCTTCTATTAAGCTAGACATTAAGGAGATTTGCAAAAAATATCTTTGTTTTCCTCTTGGAAAAATAATGAGTTTTATGTTAACATGAGTGGGTTCAGTATGATCTGACTTAATTTTTAGTACAATAAATGATAGAAAAAATCCACATAAACAAAAGGTCAATATTTTCCTACAAGCATAAAGAGATCCAAAGACTAAAAAGTGTAAGAATTACTACTCCAGTATGTCTCCTAGATGTATAATTTCCATGTTTAAATAAGGAAAACACAAAGAAATGAGAGAGAAGCATTGCACATAAATTACATATCTTACTCCACAAGTATCATACCTTTAACTTTTGCCCTTGGAGAAGCTGTAGAATGTCTGAACTTGCTCATGATGAAAAGTGCCAATATTACAAAATCTAACAGTGTGGAATTAATATTTTAAATCATCTGAAGATGAATTTGCCTTTACAAACACAGTAAGGTAAGTTTTACCAGTTGGTCATTACCCCCAAGGAGTGAAGTACACGGAAGTAGGCCTTTCTCTACCACCTTTAGGTAGTAATATTCAATCTTTCCAGGAGCTGGTGACACTGTTACTTATCTTCCCCTTTTATCCCCCACCCAAGTCAAGGAGATTAAGGTCAAAATATGGAGAATGGTATGGTAACAGTATGAAAAATGTGACACTAAACAGCCTTGGAGAGAAAAGAAATAAGAACTAAGAAAACAGAGAAGTAGTAAAAAGCACTGGGATTAAAAGCGAGGATTTTGGGGTCTAAAAGAATGAGTTAACATCCCAACTCTGTGCTTATAAAGTATAATCTCAGGCATTTTACATAAATATCCTGAGCCTTATTTTTTCAGCTGTAGTAAAGTCTAAGTGAATATATGTAAAGCACTTTG